ACACACAGACTGTGAGTGAATGTTCTTGCATTTGCACAAAACCAAAATCATTAAAACCTCCGTAAGCTTACCACTTAAGGCACTGGACCAAAGTGGTCAACATAGAGAGTTACACAACTTACGGTTCTGCGCAAAAACTTAACCTATCTTACTTACCCTTTGTGAGGAATATGGCATGAACTTTGTTCTACGTACATTGGATGAGCCCTTACATACCTGCAAGCTCAATTAAATCAATCACACATCACTATGTTAAAGCCGCAGTGTTTTTATTTTAAAGTGAAAGCGTTTCTTGATCATGGTCGCGCTGTCTTTCATCATTAACGTAATAGAAACATCATTCCCAGCGCAGACTACACTACTCAATATGCTTGACATTTATCTACAAAAATAACTTCTATTGCATTTAGGGAGTCCCAACATAACCTGTGGTTTTCATGTCACCCTCCCATGGTCCTTCACCTTCGTGGTATATTTCTTGTTCGGTTCCGTTGTAGTGTGCCGCAGTCAGTGTATATTTTGAGCATTGGCACTGTTATAATTGAGGGAACGCCTCTGTTATGATTGCGTAGATGCCCGATACGATTGTCACTGGCACGGTTGGAGCACGCCTGCGGTAACGGCTTGGAACGCTGACCAATCGAAAGGATTTGCGCTGGCCTGATGGCGTTAGCTTAGCCTGGGGTACGCGCTGGTGAGACGGGAATGGTGCGAACGTGAGAACGATCCTAGCCGCACGTATTCGGGTAGACGCTGAGCCCTCGTAACGGATGCACACGAGAGGGGGTTACGGTGGACGCGCACTAGCGACTTGGACGGGAACGCTGCCCGGTTATCAACGCACACAAAATCACGTGACCGACCGACTCCCAATTGAGGTGAAGAGGAAGAAAGGCAAGTGGTCCTATGAAGGCTCTTTTACGACCAACAAAGGGCAAATCACAGCCAATGCTATGGGTCATTAAGTTAGGGAAAATAGCTACAACGACGGGGTGGTAGTTTGCAAAAACCATTGTCAAAAGGTGCGCAGTTAGGCCGCGTCTCGGAGTGGCTCAATTCTGCTACGTTGTGAGGAGGAATTGGACCCCGCTTTCCACAGCCATTATTCCGGAGTTTCTGGCGCGTTTTTGCGGGGATATTTGACGGGCCCGCAATTGGCGTCTGTTTCTGTTTTATTGCAAATTGTGAAGTCATTATCCATACCAAAATTCTATTTTCTCGAACTCTGCCATGGGAGCTGAAATCTCTGTTAAGGCGACAGTATCCTGGTGTTATTGTTGTATTGTTACTAGTTTAACCTTGCGCGAAGTGGAACTTTTTGAAAGCACAGCATCCAATGCATTAACTGACGCAGTAGACAAAGTTTTTGCTGCATGCAGCTTATTGGTACACAATTTTGCCATAGCCCATTGCATGAGCTGGGCTCGCTAGTGCATTTTGATTATTATGTTGATTCCTTGGGAACACACTACGAAATAAACATCCATGACTATAAACACTGAAGGATTGGACAAAGATGCACACACACATGCGCGGACAGAACATGTATCGTTAAACTTTTGCGGAGCCGTAAAATGCAATGATTGTGGGTCAGGAGAGTTTCGCACCACCCCGCTACATGCACATTTTTATTAAAACAAACGTGTAATTCGACGAACATTACACGGTAAAACTTCACGTGGTCAAGGTATATAGATTAAATTAATTACTGCTAAAACCCAAGTGATCAACGTACCATTTACAGAGTTGGATGACATACTGAGGTCTGGTAACATAAGGTTTACATGGTGAAGTACGGTCAACCTATTGAGGTGGTCAGGATATTTGGATTGTCAGCTCAGACCCGATTAGCCTGTTGATGTGCAGTGTACTCACAGCAATTGTTGCTAGGCAACTTGTCCCTGGTAGACAGTAGAACACTCTCGAAAATTGTCTGTGTTCCATGTCTATCGGTATAGTCCTATTTGCAAACTTAGCATTAGTCAATCGATCGGTGCGTTTTAAAACGATATGAATACACACATGTGTATCACCTACCAACCGCTTTTTCTTCGCTTCTCGCGTCCCTTTTCATTATCCTCTGTGCGTACTTCGTGCTCAACAGACACACGGCATTCCTCAACACTATGGGCTGTTCTACTCAATGGGCTTGGCGCTGTCCATGGAGGGGATCATGAGCGCCTGCTACCACATGTGTCCGAGCTTCTCCAACTTTCAATTCGGTTCGTCGCAGATGTCATTCATCGCTATCATCATCATTATTTTGCTTTTTTGACGTGCTTTTCCTACTTATCCAGCGCTGTCTAGGTGGTGTGCTCGTACTCTTGTGGCTGACATATTTTACGTGTTGGACCCTTATGCATGATAAAGTCTTGTATCTTTCCTGAGTCCATTTTAATTGATCCTTAGGCTAGACCCTATCTCATTTGCTAAAACTCAGGTCGCACCTGATTGTGCACTTTCATATCACACTCTTGATGTGCTTAGTATGATGGATCACCCGATTAGCATCTATAGTCCGTCTGGTAGTAAAATACCACGTCTAGGAATCACAGGGATTTTATCGAATCTAATAAAGGAGGTTCTCATCAAATTAACCATTTTTTTACTTCATTTTATACCTAGCTGCTTTTGTTCACATGTGGTAGGTGAGGTGAGGATGGGGTAAAACTCCTTTACAACATCCCCTTTAGCTTGTTTATCCACCCGATTATATTGAACAAAACGGAACGATGAGGTTGAAGGAGCCTGGTTTGGTTCCTACTTAACAAAACTATTTGGTCCGTCCTGTGGTGCAGCTTCCAACGTGCAGCGCATCAGCTCTTATATGGGTGGCATGTCACCAACACACCAGTTACCATACTTTTTGCAATCTCGTCCAGTAAAATCCATTGCTTGATTTTTTTCGCCTCCGTCTGTTGTGACGTTTGCATACCAACGACCCACTAAGTTTGTGAAATTCAGTCCTGAGATACGACTATTAAGCTATTCCTTACACGTTATGCAGATACCTGTTTCTTTGTACAGCTGTCGGGCCTTAGTCACCCGTTGGTTTGGATGAGCATAAACTGTTCATGGAAACCAAATGGGACGGATTTGACGACACCACTTCCGTGGAAGTGGTATCTTATCATAACTTTATTTGAAATCAAAATCTGTGCATGTTTGTGCTAGACCTGACCTGCCGTTCGTTGTGCCAACGGTTGCCATGGCTGCCGATAGATATTTGTTCGGTTTCACAATTATTCTGCGTGATTAACAATCCCAGCGCCATTGTCGCACACACAACCATGCATCTGCTTGCGTTTGTGCTCTCTCCACGAGCTACTGTGGCCATGCGATTTGTATAGTGCGCATTCACGAAACTTCAATGCCGTCTTCTCTAACCTCTCCAAACAATCTGAATCGCACTAGTACATGCAATCCAGTCCATGTAGTTGTTATTTTTCGTCCTCCACTGTATTAATCAGTTTTTTCTGTTGCATCGGCTGAACCGAGCACTATCTGTGCACGTAGTTTAATTAACTATTTTAGAACAAAGTTACGATGAGGTCACAAAAAGCAACGGAATAGACATCAGTGAACACATTGCTGATGACCAGCAAGTCCTAGATATTGCCACTCAGTCTGAGTTATCGGAGTATTCCAGTTAGCTGCTCACTTCTCTCAAACTTTCTCATGGTTCGTGCCATTCGTCACCGCCTTATGGATCTGGCGTTATAATTTCTTCATAGACTTTACTCTATGGATGGTGGCTTACCGATCTTATCACGTGAGTGGTTACATTGTTGATTCAACTTTGCAGGACTCGTTTGCGTTCGTGCATCTCAATATTATTGTATCCAAAACCATTTTTCGCATTTGTGACAGCGCATCGCGTTTCTGTTTCCTTCATAGACACCGCCTACATGTATATCTTGGCCGCCCTCATCATGTTGAAGATATACCAAACGCGCCATCCGGATGTCAATGCATCAGCACACTCGGCTTACATGGTGATAGCCGTTGTAATCCTCCTGGGTGTCACTGGTGTGGTTAGTTTTGTGCATGTTACACTATAAATATCGTGCACCGTGCCGTAGCGCACAAGTTAATAGCTGACTTCGAGTCGTACTGAGATGGGGCGGTGCCTACGTGCATGCGCATCGCAGTTTGAGGTGATGTTCTCCTGACTGAATCTTGATTCGTCCACATTACCTCCTACTCTTCTCACTTGCTCCCGACATTTTGAGAAACATCACAAACCACTCTAAATCGCATTTTGTTCTGTACTGACATATTCTGAATCTCATTCAGAGCTCCATTTTATCTTCATTTGCGTAACGTGATCGGCCGGTGGTTGATTGATATAATGTGCCCGTTTTGTAACCCATAGTTTATCGTTTCGAATCTGCATAGGTGCGTGTGACCCTCTCGTAGCTATAACATGCGCGCGACCAGTGGCGATCGCGTGGCAGCGACAGGTCGATATTGCGTACCGGTCTTCTGCTGATACATTTTTATTATCAACAATCGTGTGTGTAAACACGCTACACTGTATGGACGCCCCTTTGGAAAAGAAAAATTAAAATGCCATGAGGGACATCATGTGGGTCGCAAACGTGTTAGGGAGCCTATTTCTCATAAACACCGTGCGGGTACAAGCGCTTGGTTGTGTTGCGATGATAGGATGACATCAGCGTGTCAATTTTCTGACGACTTTCCTACTCTGCGTCACACTCATCTTTACTCCACATTTAACTTGGCATTAGATACATTTTAAACGGGCTACAGCCACGCCGCTGTTGCCAGTTGAGAATCATTTCCGGCAAGTTTTCAGCAAGCTTATTCGGCGGTATCTTCCATAATGTTTACGCAATTGGTTCGGCAAAGTCCAGCTAGTTTGGCAGTGTTCCACAACCCATCGTTTCCTCGATCTTCTGCACTGACAGTTAACCGCTACTGCCTATCGATTCTGTGCGACAGATCCTCGGGTTAAACCACGAAGCCCCTCCCCATACAACTAGCTTGCGACGGATAGTTTTGCTTCCAGGTGCATCGCACTGGCCCGCCGATCGCATTTTCCCGCTTCGTCGTATACGATTTTGTTCACTGTTACTCTCCAATAGCTTTCAGGATGGAAGCGCGCGATTCGTTTTATTTAACATTCCAACACGATTTACTGTTCTTCCTCTAAGTCGCCTCACTATCACCAGTATCTCAAACCGAGTCTGTGCAGTTAATTCGCCCATCTTTTCACTGTATTGAAACTTTCCGGACATAAATCGTGTGCCTCAGTGTTCCTGGTTTGCCACTTCACTCGGCATCACTTGTCTGTTTATAAGTTGTTCTCTTCTAAAAATACTTCATAACTGATGCTAAACATCAGAAATTCAAATTCTCTAGTGCCTAACCAAGCGCTATGACTTTGCGTTCCAATCTTCTTTCCAGTAAACGGTTAAAGTTCAAATGTTTATGTATATGTGATTGTCTTCGTTGTCGCACATGGATTTTGTGAGCGTCCGTTTCGTAGTATTTGACATAAATGTAGAGTAAATAGTTGCTTCCATCGCTGCCAGTATGTTGAAAAAGAGGAAATGGATCCGGAACATTGTGGAGTCTCACCATTTTGATTTCACTCAGATGGTTGTAAAGTTCTGTTGAGGTGTATCCCATTTTAGCCAGCGCTACCCACTTACTTCGTCACGTCACTTTGCGACCAATCTCGAAAGCTATCCCGATCCATTGACTTTTTAAGCGGCGGTTCCCTTCCGCATTACTGACCTCATCTTTGATCTATTCAAGCGAATGTGGACCAATTGAATACCGGATAGCTGAACTCAGCGTTGTTACACCATAGGCCAGCGTAGCGATACGAATTACACCCAAGGGTCGATGAAAGAAACTTTGGGATGAAATGGTGTAATTCTTTCTTCTTAGGACACAGTCACGGGAATTCCGCAAATCTGCAGCTTATTCCACTCTAACCCAGTCCCAATTCAGATGCCTTATCCAAGCCAAATTTCTTGGGTATTTCTTTTCGATCAATACCCGAAGCATTGTTTTGCTCGAATATGCCTACAAGTCAGATTTACACTGAAACCTCTAAGCGTTGGATCACTTTGTAGTTCAATTTATTCTGCAGTTCATGTAGCCGTAGTTCAATGCACTAATCCTTCAGCGGCTACATAGCTGCGTTCGATGTTCTGCGTTTGATTTCAGATCTACGGGGGTCATACATTCTGGATTGCATTTACCATTTTATTCCTGTTGATGAGCGTCCTGCTGACGGCTGAAGTATACTACATGGGACGCTGGAATTGCGGTGAGTTGTTTTCTCCTCGCTGTTTTCCTTTTAAATAGGGCGCGACTCAAACTAATGCCATATGAGCGGGCTACAAAGCGGTGCTCTTTTATTGCTAACAGTGTATGCGCCTGCTATTTACAACGATCCGTCCATTTTGTTAATCAAATTTTCGGTTTTTTCTACGCCTATTTTTTTGATTTTTTCTTGCGCATGAACACTCACGATTTAACCTAACAACGGCACTCTTGCAGTGTATTTTTGTTGTAAAAGAGCTTGTTTTAGCTCTCGATTGTAACCCAGTGTTAATGCGTTGTTGTTCGACTGCTTTCCATTGATTTACTTACACTAATCCAACTGTCCCCGATAAATACGGTCCATAGGCTTTGAGCTCATTGCATCCACGTGTCGTCTTCTGCCTCCATATATACCTCTTGCAGCATTCAAATTGTGTCTCCTGAAAATCCCATATCGAATGGCAGTCTTCTAAGCACTGTTTTATTATGTGACTCCTTTCAGATAGGACAACCAATTGCGTCTACAAAATTAGTTGCAAAGACAGCGCACACGCGTACATCGACCAAACCGCGAGAGAGCTAAGCACAAAGATAGCAGAACACAAGATCCAGGGCAGAGAGTGAATGCCACATCATCCCCTCACCCATCGTTAACAGGGCTTACGTGTATGACCTTGTAACGCGGACCACTTGTGACCGTTCCATGCACTAGTTGGAGTGATGCGTCGACCTGTAACGCAATTGACCTGCATACATCCCATTCGTCGCGATTATCATCCCTCTTCGCTGTAAGTGCTATACCAACCCTCGACTGGTTCACTCAGCCTGAGGAAACTTTTGTGTCAAAAGCGAAACGTCGCCCACAACCTACACCAACCGATTGTTTTCAAACCTTTCTGAACCAATCGATGGTGTTCAAGATGTTTTCCCTTGCGGCTACTGAGTTCTAAGGGAGTTTGGCCATTGGGATCTGGATTACTGTTATAGTGCAGTCGTCAGTAGTGGTTTACTTTTGTTCGTCCACCCTGCTGCATGCAACAGATGAAGTGACACTTTTGATCCTGCTCCTCGACCAATGCGGAATGTATGAGATTTTTCTGGGTACTCGTTGGCTGCGATACCACCACGGCAATTTTGCCCAAGCAGGCGAGCGATTAGGGTCCTCGTTGCGCATATGCAAGTGTGCCGTTACTCACGTCCTAACAGTGAGCAATCACATGTGGACGCTTACACTTTCCAAGCTTCATCTTTTCCTCCAGTTCACGTCCTTGTAACTTCGAATCCAGTAATTGAATACCACGCGATTACTCATGTTCGGCATAACACTACGTGTATAAATACAATCTGGTCATATAGTATTTTCTCTTGTCATCTTTGCTGACGAGATTCTTAAACGAATTACGTCCTTCAAATTCCCGCATTTAAATACTCCTCCCTATATTATTTATAGAATTGTGTCTACCCGGCCGGTTATATGCCATTATTCAATCCCATGGCATCCGCTGTCTTCGTCCGGCTTATCTGGACCGCATGATCCTACTGCTTGTGGCAAACGTGGTGAATTTCGCACTGTGAGTTTGTTTTTATTCATATTCCCACTATGCGTGTTAACGCTTTAGTCTCCAGCTGCCGTCTCATCTATCTACACCACGCAGAGTTTGAATCCTAACGTTGTGATGTTTCTCCTACCTTAACGATGCACGTAGTTAGTCTGAGTAGCACATTTAGTGCCTTCAAAATCATCAACATTAAACAAGTCATTGGCTCTAGGGCAGACAAGTATGATCCTATCATTCTCCCATGAAGTACAGAAGAAGAGGTGATGGCCTCCCAATACTCAGTTATAACGGACAACGGTCCATAGGTCGTGAGGTGGACTTTCTTGGTGTAAAATCCCAACTTGTTCAGGGGTTCGCTGTGAATCGCCCTCAAGGTAAACGGCTCCTGACGAATCTCGTCAAAACACCTTTGTCTAACGTCGTCGCACATGTACCGGTTATGTTCCATAATAGTAGGTGTTACCAACCTCAGCAGATGTCGCTAGATTACAAGTATAGTCTTAACCGATAGACTATTACCCTAAAGGCTCTCGCACCATCGCCTCGCAGATCAGATATTTGAGCGAGTACTAGTGACAGTGACTGTTAAACAGAACCTTTCGCTTGATGGATAAACCGGGGGTTACGCTTGATATTTCCTCTTCAACTTCTTTCTCCTTCGTCACATATCCTCACATTACTCACGGCAGACTGCCCGTAATTTAGCTATGCTTGCCATGTACCTCACGTTTCAATGACTAACATTTTACTTCGCAGGTTGCCCGCACTTTTTATGCTATTGGTTAACGCGTGACGCTAATCGTCGCTATTGTCTGTGTTGTATTGTCTCTGCAACGTGCACACAAAGAGGTATCGCCGTATCGTAGATTCAACTACCTTGTTCGGACTGCTTGAGGATGTCTGCAATTCTTGTCTCTCCCTTGATCCCATGGTATTTGGGATGCAGTCAGCAGCAAACTCGATAGGCATTCCTCTTTAATGAATTCTAATAAATTACCAGACTTGCGAGATTCGACTTTGAAGGTCCAGCAGTCTCTAAAGACATGTTGCGTGACCATATACCGTCAGATTCAGTGTCGATTTCGCAGTCTTTCAGGTAGCGTTCGTCTATGATTCTACACCAAGGACCTTATCAAAGCAGTGTTTTGTATCACAGCTACCTTAATTTGCATCCGAGAGTTCACTATCAAGTAATACTGAATGATCATGTTGCATAGGTCCTGTTTTCAGCACTAAAGTCTCATTCTTTTTCTATCAATCGATAACTCAAGTGCGGGTTATGGAGTCGTCGTTCAACCGAGAGATTTTTCCTCGTTCCTCCTCTCGATCTTCATGATCAACGTCTTGGTCTACACATTGTTCTACATCCTTATGAAAGTAAGTTCAAAATTTGCACATCACAGTTACCTCTTCATCGGAATTGTCCGATGAGCTAGAGCTTTCGGAGGGCACGCTGCTTTAGTGCATGTCATTCTGTTAGGAAGATATGAGGCGCGGTACACCAGGTCTTTAATGCAGTGATCATTACGCAGGTATTGGTGCCTTTAGGTATTGGTGAGTGTAGTAATAGCTGGTCATGTATGCGACGCTGACTAATGTATGGTAGGCATGCAGGACACCAATCAGTTGCTATAAACGCAAGCTGATCACGTGTGGACGAAACAGAGAGGAACAAAGCACTGCTTCGTCACGAACAACGGCGACGCGGATTGGATGGAACAGCCGTGGGTAGAGGAAGCGTGTGCGCTGGCCAGAGAGACTAGGGAGAGCTCACGCGTCCAGGCATAACTCAAGGCGGACGGGGCAGAAGTCGATCTAAATGAGCAGAACGTACGGACCTATGAACACAGACAGACCACGAAAGGCGTAGAAAATGGAAAGTAACCAATCTGAAGAATTTCCACCAAATAGCGCTCCCTATCTATGTACTGTTTGGTCATTTTTCTTTACGAATAGCAGATTGTTATCGTTGCACAGATTTCGTTTTTACTCTTAGAGTGTCACACGACTGAGTATCTTTGCCCTTAACCGAACGTGCTACACTTGCCCATGAGCACTTTTCGAGTCCATGGATTCCGGTCTAGCGCAGTATAGTTTGATGGATGTTTCTTCGTGATTACCTACCATAATCTGCGAACTTTTCAGGTGCCGTAAAATGGGGTAACTTTTGCCTCTTGAGGTAACTCTGAACCAACATGAAAAAGTATAGGAATTGGATGATACTTTATTCTTTATTGTGTGGTGAAATTGATTTTATATCTTGAAAATTCATTTCTCATTGATTTGAAATAGTTTTATGCTGAACTGGAATATTCTTGAGTATACTTATTGTCAAAGATGGACGGTGTTGTGACGTGTGTCTAACATACGGGATACTTTCAGGTGTTAACCAAATTTCTAAGATATTGTAAATATAACCATCTGTGTTGTCCTTTTGTGAATAAGTAATGATGATATCCATCCACATTTTACTTGCATTATGTTAATGCCTTGGTGGCCAATGTTGCCCCGATAAGCTTTGTTGTTTTGGGGTAACTTTGGTCAATTGGCCAAAGTGTTATTCATATATATATATATATATATATATATATATATATATATATATATATATATATATATATATATATATATATATACAGCATACCGGGCCGGCTCCGTTGATGAAACGTGGAGGACACTTAGTCCAAAGTTGACGCAGTATGGAGTCGTCAAGCTTCGACGAGTCAACAAGGGAACGCTTATGTCGCAAAAGTTGGGATGGAGTGCGGTCAGCAAGCTCGACAGCAGAAAGTAGCTGCTACAGATGCATTTCATCAGATGCCTTGGTACGTTTTAGAATGTCTGCCATAAGCATATCATACGTCGCTTCTGTTGGCATGGGATCAATAACATCCATGACTTCAAAGGCAATAGGGACAGGTAAACATGAAACAACGTAGGAAAAGATGGTTGACTGCAAAGTAATTTTCCGACACCGAAAAGTAGCTTTGACTCGAATGAACCAAATGCGCGAATTGGAAATGTTAAACGTAGGAAGCGAAAATTTGACATTGTTAGCAAAATCACACGTAGCCTGATAAGACATGGTGATGCAAAACGATCATTGGAAAATAGCGTGGTCACCAATTTATGTATTGGTCGATGAAATACGGAAAGGCTTAAGTCCCTTAGGTAAAGCAAAACTTAAGGAAACGCTAACTTACAGTCGAATCACAGTTAAGTTCCGGCTACATTGAACGAAATATCTGTCGAGGACGTCGAACACAATGGAATCAGACGTTGAATTCTAATTCCACAGCAAATATGCGGCATTCAAACAAACAAGAAAGCAGCGTTCACAAGCAGCAGCAGTCGCACAACCAAAAATCAGCACGACGGAAGCGATGCGTAAAAGGCATCATTATATATATATATATATATATATATATATATATATATATATATATATATATATATATATATATATATATATATATATATGGTTGGCGGCATCCGGTTTCGGATTTGCCTGTCACTGTGGCCAGCCACAGGACGCCTGCGCCTACGGAGGGATCATGGATGGCCTGGGCTGCACCATCTACAGCTCCATCCACACGCCCCTTATCCAGGGTAAACCCGAAGGAATAAGACCGGGAGGCATGCGGACGGGAGCCACGTTTCATCAATGGAGCCGGCCCACACTACTTCACAGACAAACGCAAGCACGTTTATTTTGGGAATCAAGTGCACACAAGGCGGTGGCTGGACCGTAGTCCGCTCCACATTGAGTGCATGGAACCACTCTTCGAGCCTAGCACGACCACAAGGACCGTGCACCCCGTCCCCTCCAGCAACGACCAACTGTCTCCTGGAGCCAGTATGGACGAGGTAGTGGGTAATAAACAGGCAGGCAACTTGTCAAAATGCATATGAAGTGCAGCCACACCTGGGATGTCAAACAACAGCCAATCATTCGAAATGCCGGTATCATATAAATGATATCGAAAAAAGTCAACGTATATGACGACACAAATACTCGCTAAATCAGCGTTCGCAGTAAATTGGTTATAAGCGAATCCGAGATAAGTACAAAATGTCCGAAAGTTATTTAAAAATTACTACGTGATAAAGTTACGCAAGATTACAACAATTTGCCTGCGTGACCTGTGCAAGTTAGGAGAAGATTATCAAGTACGCAGAACAAACCAAATAAAGTGGAATAATTTTATCCACCTTAAAAAGACCTAGTTTAAGTGTAAGCTGGTTTAGCCCAAATGTGGTGAAGAAGCATCATGAACGCAACATCAGCCTTAGCATGGAGCTTATACAGATAAATATATATATATATGTCCATATTTAAAAGGCGATATATAACCCATCTCTTTCTACTGATTGGGTATATACACAAGGATGTGGCTTGCGTGAATACTGACCAGCATGCCTCAAAGGGGCAGCAGCTTGTTAAACCAAGCAAATAAATGTTTATTTAATTAATGAAGACAAGGAGGAGAATGGGTTGAGTTATTGGCGTAGAAGTGGGTTAAACAAGCGAACACCTCCACATCTCACACTATCTAGCAGTGTATGCATATGTGAGGCAATTAGAGTTAAACAGACAAGCTGGCATTTTGTGGTTATTTTTAGGTAGCTTAGGTAAATGATAACAAACGAAACACTGCAAGCTACCGATCAATGGATGTAGCATGAAGTACATATGCCGCATACCTGTAAATTTCACAGCGAATTTTCTTTTGTGAAATATGTATTCCTACATCAGAATTAATATGAAATGACAAAGTCCTCATTCCCAACTGAATCATCGGAGAGCGCAAACACAGGTGATGCTATTATGGGGAAGTTGGTTTGATCGCAACTGGGTAAAATTCGCCGTTTGATCAACGGCCAACAACGTCTTCCTTTGTCTCAACATTAAACCGTGCTTTCTTTGGTGCAATTCATCATCTGCATTGTCAGGATCTGTGATACGCCTCCCGCGACTAGGTGCCTGGAACTCTGTCACCACCAGCCCCATGCATCTTCTACTTATGTGTTTTTGTCTTGAATGCCGTGTCAGAAAGAGTAGAAAGAGGCATTACTTTGGCGTGATTCAGCCATAGAAATTGCAGCTGAACAGATAGAAGACTCACTACACGCAACTAATTTTACTAAGCAGCTTCTTTTTCCCCACCTCATATAAACGCTTAGAATTTAGTCGAACAGTTTTCATCGGATAAATCATGAATTTCATCCGCACGGATTGTGCGGCAAATTAGTGATGCCGAGCGCTTGAGAAATTGCGGGGTGCGCTGAAACTCATGACCGTATTCTTGATTCAATCACACCCCTAATTTACTTCTGAGAATAATTTATTGTGTGCAGTTCGGTTCGGTTAACCAGGTGGTTAGAGCAATTTGGGTGTGTTGTAATCATTCCCACAGTTTACGTAATGCACGAAAGCCAACCAAATTGTTAGCGCCAAATTATTCAGGAAAATCGTTCAGGCTCTAAGGCATACGATTAGAGTGCCGCAATAAAATTTGCCATCCGGGTGAACGTTTGTCATTTCTACTCGCAAAAGTTAGTTTCTGATGGAAGTCGCCTACAACCGAGGACGAATTTTTAATTTTACAACGGTTTAAAGAAAAAGTTTGCATTATACACTGCCATAGTGTTTTCCGTGTGAAAAATCACTCGAGCATACATGGCGGTAGGGCATAAGAAGGGGAGAAAACAGCGAAACTATGATCATTTGGATCCACTGCCTATTATATGGTAGCTGTGTCAACTGTCACTGAGATTATGCGCAAATAGACTGAATTGTGTCAATCTATAAGTTTAGTTTATGCGATACTACATCTTGTACTTCATCTTGTGCGACGAATAAAGCTGAAGACGAAGGCAACTTCAAAATATTTTGCACCACATTTCGCAAAGCCATGATGAATACGACGCAAGTAATTCTGTTGTGACGCCCAGTACGCCTTCACCCCACGACCGCAAGAAGAAGTCCAAGATGAGCCGGGATGAACAGATTTTCTATTACAGCACGGCACCAGTTATATAGCTTTACAAACAAGGGCGAATCCAAGCTACTAAACGCATGAGATCCAACAGGCATGGAGAAAACACAAAATGGAACAAGCAAATGAGAATCGCGAAAATTACGAACCAATGAAGTGCGGCAAAGAAACCAGTGTCTGCGGAGTTAATCTCTGGGGATAACCTTCTGGTGAGCGACCATTAAAAACGACGAGTAGCGTCCAAACAGTGTGGAGAAGTTATGCGTTTAAACAAACGCCAGAACAGTTAATAGTGAGAATTATACACGCCAGGAAAATAAAAACAGGTATAATAAATGTGTGTCGGCTGAATAGTACATCTACTTGAAAAAGCTAAGAAACGCTGAGCAAAAGAAACCAATCAGAATGTCCACAGAATGAGACGGCTGAAAT